GAATCGCAAGTCCATAAGCCTTGGAGCGGGTTTGCACCGGGTCTGTTGGCATAGGGAAAGTGTGAAAGACATCGCAAACACAACCACTTCAAGAGTGGAGGTTATCAAGCAAGCAAAAGGCCCTCAAGATACAAAAGTTACGGTGCCCCTCGACAAAAGGGCTATGTAGCGAGGTTGCCGAGTAGAAGAGCAAGTCCCGTTTATACGGTACGTGATACAAGTCACATTAGTTGGTCACATGTTATTACCAATCATTTTAGATACGCGTATTTCAAACGCGTACTACTACTGGACCAACTAAAATTTAACTCTTGACATTGGAATGTTGTTAATTTCTACTTGTTATGGATGAAAAGGATTTCGTAGCACCAAAAGATCGTTTGCATGATATCTATGTCACCTCAAGGCCAATGAAAGAGTGGCATAATATAGATTCTTATGTCTGCAAGTTACTGGAGAATAATCCAGGATTTTCAGAAAACGAATGTTTCGTAATCTGTTGTCGGAGCCTGAGTTCGTTATCAAAACAGGTTCCGGATTGGCCAAACAGTATCTCTAAATACGCCTCCACATTACTTTCAAAATGGAAGGGACCCGAAAAACAGCACTGGCTTGAGATCGCAAAAAAAGTCATCCAGCGTAAACGTGATGAAGAGAAGGTTGCAACTAACAACGCTGAAATTCAACAGAAAGAAATTATTCAGCAACAACGAACCACTGTTTCTGCTATTAACTTAGTCACCGAAGAAATTGATGAACGATCACGTAAACGTCAACGTGGACAAGAGCCACAAAGTGATTATTATAACGAAGAAAAAGTATCAAAGAAGCAGGCACAAGAAGGACCCATCTCGCCTTCTCCAAATAGTCAAATATCAGTAAGTTTACCTGAAGAAAATAATCCATTCTTCGACGAGGAGGACGAGGATGAAGATATCGTAATTGACGACGTTCCATCCGAATTTTCTTTTGAAAATGGAGATCTGGAAAATGGCATATACGTGGGAGAGACTAATGTTTCTCTACTTTTTCGAAATTATCAAGTTACATCATTGGACCTTGCAAAAATAAAGGGGAATATTTGTAGAATCCAATGTACAAGAAATACTATCGTTATCGTCTATTTTGTTACTCGCCTCGGATTCCTACTCTGATATAATGATTGATCACTTTGGACTGTCTTTACTTGATGAAATCCGTAAAAACTTTACACCAGTTCAACAAATATCATTAGATTCAAATTCTGAAGCAACGTTCAGAAAAGCTGTTAAAATGGCAATGAATGGGTCGCGTAATGAAGCTATTAACAGGTTATGTGGAGACCTTTCAAATGAGAAATCTTTGAGGGATAATTTGGGCTTTGTTGTTTGGACTGCTTGAGAACGCTACCCTCTTCAAAAATTAGGAATGAACACAGCGAAATAACCCACTATACTAATTTTCTCGACCGTATAATGAAGGGACTTTTTGATGATCCCGATAAGCACGTAGTGCATTGGCCTAACACGGCTTTAAACGAAAGTAAAACAAGAAAAATTGAGGGTCGCGCAAAGCAACCGGATTTTACTGTTTCCATTGTTTACCAATTACAGACCAGCGACACCATTTTTGTAGGCGAAGTTAGCCCCCCTCGAAAAGAGGGGATGTATACAAAAATTGTAACGATCTTGTTCGTTTGGGCGCGTTTATGAAGGACAAGTTGGACTCATCTATTGACAAGGGTGCGGACATTAAAGTGCTTGGCTTTCAGTGCGTCGGTAAGAAAAATTATTATCGTTTTTTTTTTCTTATTTTATTCTTTAACACCTTTTGATCATTTATATATTATAAAATTGACTATTATATCATGGACCTTGTACAAGGAATATATACTATGATTAACGTTGGACAAGTATTGATTCCAGCATCCTTAAAAGACATGTCATCGTTTATAGATAGTATGGAATTATCATTAGGAATACAAGATATTTTTTGTGAATCATACAAAAATCTCTATGCCAGGCTTTGTAATCCAGGATCGTTGATAAAAAAGGCATCATTCAAACAAGATACCCTTTCCACTCCAAAGTTTCGAAAGTTGGTTAGCAAGACACAAAGTTAGTAGACCCTGTCCATTTTGGTTTGGACGTTTCTAGATACTTGAATTGCACATATTATTATTATGCCAATGACTTGTGACTTAGTCACACTCTATGCATTAGTTTTTAGCATTGCTGTATAAATACGCATGATATCAGACTCTGCCATCATGTTTTCAGAAGATAAATTTAACCAAATTTTTTTTAAACTGCCAAAAATTAACCGTATGTAGTTTTTTTGATCGCCGGTCAGTCGATCACATTTTTCTCTGCACGGGTCCGGACTGCTACCACCAACAGAATTTCGTCACGTGTATTCACAAACATATATTTAATAATAAAGCATTTGCATATCGGACTCTCTCCCATCAGAAAAATATTTCTTGTACGTGCATATCAAATCATACATCTGCCCATACCAATAAAGTTTGCCCACATCGGGTCTAGTGATGTGTAGTTATGATTAACATAGTGTAACATGTTATGAAATGAAACGCTAACTGCTAAAAATTTATATAACCCAAGCTAATCAATATAAGAACTTCCGGTTTACGTTCTGCAAAAAATACATTTAGCCTAATCCTACTCGTCTGAACCGATTCTCTTGGAATTACAACCTGCTAGCGATTATTGATAGTAGTTGGCCTAGAAGATGCAGATACTTCCATGGATGGTGTTACCGGTCTTGATGCTGGAGGGGAGTCTCAAATAAATCTGCAATATCCAATGTTCTCTCAGATCTAGTGTTTGATGAACGAGATGATGAACTCATCCTTCTTGATCCCTGAACACTTCCAGTGCGTGCTCGTCTGAAAGGTGGTTCTGGCAAATAAAAATAGATGTTATCAATGATAAAAAAACCTCGAAAAATTCTCTGAAAGCATACCAGGCTTTAGCCAGAACTTTGTTGAGAACTCTTCATAAATCTCTTCCCCAACTAGGCTCCTTTTATCCCCAGTCCTTTCTTTATATTTTTTCGCCATCTAAAAAAATAAGTATTATTACCGGACAGGTCTTCATAGAAGACAAGCGAGCTACTTACGTAAAAAGCTTTCGTATTGATTATAGCAGACTTCACCAGTGAAGTAATTAGTATTTTCTTGATCATTTATCTTTTCCGCAATCTCATTCCAAAAAGATACTTCTTTTTATTTGTAGTAGCGTGATACTCTGCATTTTTATGTTTTCGTTCATCAATGAGAATATGAAGTTAGGCATCAGAGAACTCCATGGTTGATTCCTTTTTATATGGCAAAAAGGGTTTATTTTATAAAATAATATCAAGTGATGTGTTAGATTATTGCGAGGCAAATTAATTGATCAATGTAATGATTTAATTTATAGAAACTCGTCAGCTCCTAGAACTATCGAGGAACTGCCAGAGATCTCATGTGATTCAAATTTTTATAGTTTAGCCGGTCCATGGTAATTTAACCGAATCAAAAAAATATGAATCTGTTTTCACCCGAACAATCGAACAAAAATGAATATGATATTTATTATAATATACTTGTTATAAATTGCTATAAGTCTTTAAAATCGCTAAAAATGCTATAAATCACTAAAATTGCTATAATTTCATTATACCTGCAAAATGGTTAAAACTAATTACTATTTTGGTTTGAATCCTATAGTAGTGTCAAGCATTAAACAATCTGCAATATAGCTATCCCTTAGATTGTCTAGCAGGCAAATTTGCCTGTGAAATTAATAATAATTGTTAATTTCTTTATAAAATATTAAA